GATAGAAACAAAGCATATGAAAGTAAGTTTAGATTTTCAGAAAATATTTCTGATAAAATTCATCATAAAAGATTAATTCTGAAATTACAAATCGTAGGTATTCAAGGAATTAGACATCTTGAAACTGAGAATTAAATCCCTGGGATGATGCAATTAGGGGTGTACCACAGGGATCTGTGTGAGTACCACTGCTCATCTTAATATGTAGCAAAAAATTAGATTGTGGCATAGAAATTCTACACCATTTGAAGTTAAGACAGGGCAAAAACCTGACAGATGACACTTAATGTAAACAAGTGTTACTTTAGATAAAAGAAACATAAACACATAGACACCTTAGACCTTCCTAGACAATACAAAATGAACACAAAAGGCAAAGAGAATGTCTGAATACACAGATAAAAGTGTATGTTATGTTAAAATTGTACAATGCACATATAACGTATTTAGAATGTTGTGCACAATTGTGATCACCACATTACAAAAATTATATTAATTATCTGAAATCAGTTCAAATAGTAAAATAGTACTAGAAAAGGTAACCCAAACTTCAAGGAGTGCTCTGCTTTGACAGGCTAAAAGAAGTAAAGCTTTTAATTTCTGAACCCAGAGAGAGATGTGGTAGATCTGAAACCATCTACCCAACCATGGTGTCAAAGCCAGAGACTCTGTATCCTATCAATCAGCTATCAATATCCAAATGAGCTAGATGACTGGATGGCCTCCTCTCATTTGTAACTTCTTTTACAAATTAATTTTAGTTTTACATTTACATTATTTTCATACTTTTTTTCCCAGCGCGCAATCTACCTACCATAGCATGGCATCATGAATCAGAACTCTTTATATCAGTGTAAGAACAAAAGCAGAAAATAGGTGAAAATCACAAACTACCCCTAGTAACATATTTAAGTGATACAATACAATCCCTGAATAATTTCCATTTCCCTCACAATCAAGTCAATCATAGTTCTGCAATCTCAGAAAATTACATTGCACATTAAGCCCTAGAATGGCTTGCTTTGTCTACGTTCAACTGAAAACTCTGGGAAAGAGGACAGCCAAAGTGTCAATATTATGGTGTATCCCTATTCCCCACAAGTCCCCCCACCCCAATCATGCACAGTCTGGGATCAACAGGTCACAGCCTAAGTGCCTTGTAATTGTCTCTTCCTCATTTAAAGACCTGAAGCTCTACACTAGCAGAATTCATTCACAAAGGCTCAGAATCTCAAATTCCCTGGTTTTCTTTCAGGGCCTGTCGAAAGCTAACATGAAATTGCACCAGTGAGGTGTCCACCTGCTCACAGTCCTAGCTTTCCTCAGTGCAAACCTCACCTGGACACACTTGAGACTTAACACTTTTAAATTCTGATTCTTTACCATGTTTGTGCCTGCAAATCCACACCTATGTTTTGTTTTTATGTACGGTATACAAAATGGCTGCACTACATTAAGCATTCCATGTAATTGCAAAATACTAAGATATGAAAGGTATGAACCATCTTTCAGTAAAAAAAAAGTAGTATTAATGTAAAATCATCCTTATATTGGTACCGTACTTCATTGGCAAAGTTTTAGATTTCAATCAAAAAACAAAAGTGAATTGGAATTTTTCACATTTCACTATTGTTTTTCTGCCATTTTCAGACTCT